GTCACTCAAATCAATCTAACATTGTTAGTGCTATATACTACTAATAAATAGTAAATCTTTGCCAAATCAATTGCTGCTACGTCATCAATATAATTTCCATATATTTCCTGAAAATCACATATAAACATAGGTAAGTGTAAGAGTTGTGTTAGAGACAGAACAAACAATCAAATAAAACCAATGGATCTACTGTCAAAAAAGAGGCATGTAGAAATGCAAAATCAAGTCAATTTTTCATTTCTAAAAAGTATTCAAAATTATAATTGACAACAATTAATTTAGAATATCTTAGATCGTGAACTTCTCAGCAATTCGCAAGATCTGTCACAATCACCTGTTTCCATGGGTAATGTATTGATAAGGTTGGTGGGTAATGTGTGGATAGGATTGGTCCTCCTCTCGTAGGGGCAAAGATTCTGAAATTTGTTATTATTGTTCTTCAGGGAGACAACTAATTCTTTTGAAGCTGTGTCTAAATTTTCTCTAGCAGTATCTGAAATTTATGTCTCCTCATTTTCTGGTGGTTCATATTATTATTCATTGTCATCTTGGTATATTATTATATCATTGACATCATTGTTTAATCTTTCATTGGAATCTAGATTTTTCTCTAATACACCATCTCTTCCACTTCCTGATTACTCTTGTAGGCTGCCCCTTCTATGTGTTATGTTCTTTTCAATTTCTTTATGAAATGTTTTTGTTTCTAGATCCTCATATTTATCATCTATAGAATTTCCTAAAAGAAAATCTTCATTTTCTAGTAGCTATTCTCTTGCTGGTGCATCTTCTTTCTATTTCTGTTCTCTGCATGCTGTGTGTGTAATATTCCAAAGAGAAGGGATGAAATTTGCTCTTTGACTTAATCTTTAGAGTTCTTGGAATCTGATTCAAAGGGGAACCTCTACTACTAACTCTAGATATTTGTTAGGTTCTTGTGACAAGACTGATGACATTGAAGGGGATCTTACTCTATATCCTAATACTTTAACATTATTCACATTAAGACACTCCATCACCATCAACATCATAAGTGCCTCAATTTCCTAGAATTTCTCCGTATTCCACAAGACCTAACAAAAGGTGACTACCGGTGTCCAGATTCCAAACAATGCAATTATCGTAAACAATGTGAAAAAAAGAACTTTCAAGAATTTCCTATTTCTTTCAATTCTTGTGTCTTCCATGCTTTTATCTCTCTCTTGAGACTTTTGCTGCCATTTTTCTTGGTGCTGAGGCTGACACCAACAGCTGCTGCTGTTGCTGTCACAATTGGCTTACTTCTGTGAAAGCATAACTAACTCTCAATGTACAGCAGAGAATGTGAGGGGATACCTCAGGGAACCCCAGACATAAACACAGCAGTGGATATAATAATAATGTCTCTACATATTGCTTCTGTCCTATTCTTCTATTCATCTGGGAGTCCAAATAAACATATGTTTTTCTTTTTCACAGTATCCTTTATGTTTCTTACTCTCACTTTGGTATTCTCCATCTTTTTGTATACTTGTGCTTCATTGTGAATGATTTCTTCCTTATCTACCAGTTCTCCAATTCTCTCTTTAACTGTGTCAAATCTGCTAGTGCACTCACTTACCATGTTCTTTGTTTATTGTATTTTTCAGTTCTGGAACTACTTTTTCACCAATTTTCTAATTTCACATTTTGTAGTTTCTAATATATTGACAAAAGTTGTGAGCTCACCTTTTTTCTCCTTGAGCATTTTATGCATATTTCCAATGTCTAGAATAAATTTGTGTCTCATTTTGTTTTCTCTAATTTCTGCTGATTCTCATTCATGGTGTCTTTTCTCTTTGTATTTGGTTACTGTTGATTGTGTGTCGGACATTATATTTTAAAAGTTATTGATGGAAATAATTTGAGGCTTGGTAATACATTATGTTCCTCCAAAGAAGTTTTATTTGTTGTATCTTCCTGGATCCTGGGAATGATACCAATCTAAAAATCACCTTAATATCAATTCAAGACTTGAAGTTTTCTCATTTAATTGAACTAAGCCAGACTTCAGTCTGTTCAAGGGCTTTTTACTATTTATCTACCCTTACTTCTAAGGTGCAAGCCTCCAGGTATTTAGCCCAAAGTAGATCAGTTCCAACTTTTGAATTTTTATACCTATGAGGCCACCAAAGGTTCAGCTCAAAGTTTCAGTTTCCCCTTTCAGAATAACAAATTCCTGTAATGACAAAGTGGCCTTAAGTGCTGGGCTTAAATTTTAGAGTTTCTATCCTCTCATTGCCCCAGTAATCTCTCTCTACATTGGATCTTTGATATTTTAAGAAAAAATAAATATTAATCCTGTTGTTTTTTTCCATTGGAAGTATTATCGCATGTTACTTAGTTAGCTTCCACTACTGGAAGTAAAATATCTAGATTTATTTTCTGTCATACGAAGTCTAAACTTATTTTGAATTTAAATAATTATGCTAATAAGCATTTACATGAGATGAACCTACGTCAGAATTTTAATTGTAAAGTAGACAGCTAGATAAAGCATGGAGCCTTGCCATGAACTTGCAGCTTAGATAAAAAAAAAAAGGCACCAGTGCCTTCAATTTCTTATAAGGTTCACATTGATTTGCTATCAAAGGACTTACCTACATGAGCAATGGATTCTTTAAAAAAAATTCTGGAGATAGAATAAGAAAAACTAATAGATACAAATTTTCTTTACCCTTACAACCAAATTCTGCATTCTATCTGAATTTAGAATAGCCCAAAACAGGCCAAATTACCCCCATTTCTAATGCCATGATTTTCTTATAAAGAAAAATTCAGAGACAAGGAAATACATGAAGCCCTGGCGTGGGTGGATGGCATCTTGAGTAAAGGAGGCAATGATCACATGTATTTTGAATGACATTTTGTTTCGCGGCCATGTACCATAGTACAACTGAAGATTTGTGGGAGGTATGCCTCATCTTCTTTTGTGGTAAAATTAGAAAGGGCAACTGTGAAGGGAGATGTGGGAAAAGAAGAAATCAAGCTGCCCCTATAACGGCAGATAAATTCTCAGGCTGATCAATTTTAGGAAGGAGTACATAGAGGAGTTACAGAAATAGAAACTGATTCCTTAAAAGTATTCATATCTTTACTGTTAATGGATTTGAGATTACTTTTGGGGGTAATAAAAAATATTCTAAAATTACATTGTGGTGATGGTTGCACAACTCTGTGACTATCTTAAAAAAAATTGAACACTTTATTTTTTTATTTTTTATTTTTGAGGAAGATCAGCCCTGAGCTAACATCTGATGCTAATCCTCCTATTTTTTCTGAGGAAGACTGGCCTTGAGCTAACATCCGTGCCCATCTTCCTCTACTTTATATCTGACGCCACCACAGCATGGCCTGACAAGCAGTGCGTTGGTGTGCGCCCAGGATGTAAAGCGGTGAACCCCAGGCCGCCGCAGCAGAGCGCGTGCACTTAACCGCTTGCGCCACCGGGCTGGCCCCCTGAACACTTTAGATAGGTAAATTTTATGTGTGAAATATATCTCAATAAACCTGTTTTTTTTTTTTTTTTTAAGAAAAAAAGTCTTGTCATATCTGAGTATCCTTTGGGAAGTCTTCAAGTAATTTAAATATCTAGGGTTTAGAGACTACAAAATCCATGCAAGAAAATGATTAATAGAATAATCCTTAAATTCATAAAGATATCTAGGTTTAAATTTTGGTTTCATATTTACTATCTGTGTGGTCAAAAGTCAGTTATTAACATCACTAGGCTTCAGCTTTCTCAAATAAAATGAGGATAACACTATCTTGCCCAGAAGCAGGGACTAAAAAAGGATTTTTGCCTGAGTAATATATGGTGGGAATGCTCTAGGTGAAGAGTAGGATAGGACAAGGAAAAGAAGTTAGTGAGAATGTGGTCTTAGCTGGAGACTAACTTTAGTCTGTCTCTCAAGGAAGTCAGTCAGTCATTGGCCAAACTGTGAGGGGGACAGTGTGGGAGGGTGTAGTCCTCCAGGCCTGTGGGTGTCAGCCATACTAGAGGCCATCACTCACGTCACTGGGGGAGGGTGCCCTTGCCAATAAAGGGTGTCTGGGTTGGGCACTACCAGTATTTACTATCACTCCTCTCCCATAGCACTGTTGTAGGGATGGCACAAGATAATACATAATATACAATGACTGCAAAGGTCTGCACAGTGCCTGGCACATAAGAAACACTTTATAAATGATATCTATTTTTTACACGGCATAAAATATCAAATACACAGACAATGAAATAAATTAATTACAAATATTGTATAACACCATCCAAGTTAAGAAAATCTTACTGTACATGTTGCTTCCTCATCAAATGTATATGTGTGATTTACTGAGCATCCTTCATGATGAGGTTGTAAAGGAGTAACTTTCAGTGGGCTTGTCCAACCTGAAAACAAAAATGTATGTGCTTTGGGTTAAAAATGCAGTATAAATTTCTTCTTCTATCAGAAATATCTCCTATTAGAAAGCTAAACTGTGTGGTGTTAGTTAATTTTTCAATGGATTATCTAACAACTTCTCTCAGCAGTGAGAACTGAATAGCTCTGGAATTTATATGTTAGGATAATTATAATAGTGCAGAATTATTTATGATTTATTACTCATTATTGGGAGAGACTTATTAGGTACTATGAATCTGTGTAGGTGCGTGTAGATGTGTTGGGGATGGTGGTGAGGCAAAGGAGTCTGGTTACTATGAAGATAATTCATCTAATGATAGATTAGAAGTCCTAAGAGACTAGCAAATATAAAAGCAGACTTCAATAAATATTTACTGCACCATAAATGGAATCAGATGAATATATAAAGATGAAAAACAATGTTCCTGGTTTTGAGGTGCTCCTGAACAAAGGGAAAAGATGGACATTTAAGTAGATAATTTCAATATAATGTAGCAACTGTAGTAATAGTTGAGCTCTAAGTGCTGTAGGAGTGCAGAGGAGGAACATCTAGTCCAGCCAGATTGTGGGGAGTCAGGAATATCTTCCTGAAGATAACACCTGATCTCACCTTGACAACTGAGTAGGACTTGAATAGCAAAAAGCAAGTGGAGGAAGGATAGTCATTCCTGCCAGGGAAACAGCATGTGCTCTGTGAGGTCATCATAATTTTTACAAGAAAACACAAAAGGTTGGGTACAGCTACGTCATAAAATGGCAGCCAGGGAATTGTGGAAGATGAACAAGAAAGATAAGCCAGAGTCAGGACATGAAGGCCTTGGACTTAATCTCCAGGTGGACTGCCCTTGGCAGGTTTTAATCAGAGAGAATGATAACTTTGGCAAATTACTCTGGCTTGGACAGGGGACTAGGGTAGGTGAAGACAATGGTCATACCTCTGATAGTTTCCATAGAGATCCTTTCTTCTACCCTATGGGGGCTTCTGACTTGGTCTTTTACTTCTTAGCTTTGCCCCATGAATTCATCCAACTTGGCAAAAGATGAATTAAAAAGTTACAGTTTGGGAGCTAGGTGGACAGTACTGAGATGTTGAAGCATGGTGTGATGAATTGTGAGAGGGGTTTTGGATAACAGAGGAGCACCATGGTCATCTGTGGATACCAATCTGGTGGAGCTGCGTAGCAGAGTTCAGCAGGTCTTGGGTCTTAAAAAAGTATATACTTTCTGGCTCCAGTGCCAATATGATCTCATGAATTATTTGACTCCCCTGAGCCTCATTTTCCTCACCTTTAATGATTATTGTCAGAATTATGAAAACTACAATTAATGTATATAAAGGAATTGCCAAAGTTTCTGGCATATAGTTTAAGTGCTTAACACATTTATTAATTATCAATTAGTAGTTGCAACATTATTAATATCTGTAGTAGTAACATAGTAATACATTTTCATAATGATATGATGATTCAGTCAATATTTGACTAAGAGACTCAGGACAGAATCTGCAAAGGGGACTGGCAAGGGAGGGATGGGAACTAATGGATTCTCTGCGGATTTTGAAGGAGAAGTCAGAAAGATCACTGTGTGAGAAGGCTTTGACGCACCATTATTGACTTTGAAGATAGAGAAGGCCATGAGAGAAGGAATGTGGGTAGCCTCTAGGAGCAGAGAGCGTCCCTTGGTTGTCAGAGAGCAAGGAAATGGGCCCCTCAGATGCAAGGAACTGGATTCTGCACAACCTGAATGAGCCTGGAAGTAGATTTTCCACAGACCCTCCAGATAAGAGCCAAGAGTCCACCTTGATTTTGGCATTGTTATGTCCTGAATAGAAAAACCAGTTGAGCCTGGCTCAGACTTGTGATCCACAAAACTGAGCTAATAAATGGGTTTTGTTTTAAGCTGCTAAGTTTCTGGCACTTTGTTACAACAGCAAGAGAAAATTAATACAGAGGCAGAGGCAAGAGGTCAAGGCAAAGTGAGACAGATAGTGCTGAATCCCATGATTATTTTGGCTTTGAGAATAAGAATGATTCTGTCTGTGACACACCTGGCCCAAGGAAACCCTGCAGAAGACTATCATGCCAATAGCGGCAGGAGGGCGCTTTGTGGTATTTATCTTATTTGCAGCCATTGAAGCAGCAGCTTTGAAAAAAGAGGAAAGTAGGAAAACAACAAAACTTAAATTTTGATCTTAAGCCAGAGTAGAAGAAAGGAAACACGACAATGAATTACAGCTATAGACCTCAAGGTCACCACATTCACCTTTAAGTATGATGATGTCCTTTCCTTTACCTTGTTTCATTATCTACTGCTGCAAAACAAACAACCCCAAAACCTAGTATCTTAAAACAACTATTCATCATGTCCCAGGATTCTGAAGCTAGTTGCAGTGTTCTATGTCATGAGGCGTAGCTTAGAGAGCTGAAAATGTCCAAAAGGACCTCACTCACAAGGCTGGCAAGTTGCTGTTGGGAGCTCAGCTGGGCCTGCTGACCAGTGCCTTGTTATTTTTTTTTCTTTTCCTATGGGCCTAGGTTGGGTCTTTCACAAAATACTGACTGAGATTCTAGAAGAAGAATCCCAAGAAGAGCAATCCCAATGTGCAAGTACTTACCAAGCCTCCACTTGCATCATGGCTGCTAATATCTTATTGGCCTAAGTCACTCATACGTCCAGGCCCAGAGCCAATGTGGGAAGGAAACAGACCTCATTTCATGATGGGAGGATTGGCAGGCACATACGAACAGATGAATTGCCAAGGGCTACTTTGGGACTAGCCCTTACACACCGCTTCTTCATAATTCACAGTCTTACTTCACCACTTTCATGCCACCAAATAACTGCCAAGTCTTTTGCCAAGAAAAGCACTGCAGTATTTTGTCACTTATTAGAGATTTAACATGTTTAAAACTGTGATCATATTTTTACTTTGAGCGGGTTTTGTGTGTAACCCAAGAAATTATATGAGTTGGGAGGGGTCTTCCATGAACATTATGTTCCCACAGACCCTATTATTTATATTATGAAACATTTTCAAATACAGTGCTTTTAAATAATCAAAAACCCTAGAAAAAAGATTCAAGGACTATTCTATGTATCTTGTTTTCTTATTCATGTATTTTTTCTCCTCTAATGGTTAGAGATAGCTTGTTTTATTTTATTTTTTTAACATCTAATATACTCTTTGTTAGTGGTCTTCCCTGAGTTTTCTTTTTCAATATGGCTAAAGGTAGGTCAATTTTGTTGATATTTTCATAGAACCAACACAGGTTTAGTTGATTTTTTTCCTTCTGTTTTCTATTCTCTATTTTATTTTGCTTATATGCACCAAACATCAGACCAAAAAATACATGATGCAAATATTGACAGAATTGAAGGGAGAAACAGCTCTACAATAATAATTGGGGACTTCAATAATCTACTTTCAATAATGGATGAAACAACCAGACAAAGATCAATAAGGAAATAGAGGACTTGAACAACAACAATTTGACCTAATTGACGTATACAGAACGCTCCACCCAACAGAATACCCCAAAAGACACCTTTTCCTCAAGTGCACATGGAACATTCTTTGGAATAAGCTATATTGTAGCTTCCACAAAAGAAGTCTTAGTAAATTTAAAAGGACTGAAATCATACAAAGTGTATTTTCTGATCACAATGGAATGAAACTAGAAATTGATAAAATGGAACAAAAATAGAAATCAATATATTGAAATTAAACACCACACTCCTAAATAACCAATGGGTCAAAGAAGAAATCACATGGAAAAATCAGATATTATCTTGAGACAAATGAAAACAAAAACACAACATGACAAAAGTTATGGGATTCAGCAAAAACAGTGCTCAGAGGGAAGTTTATATGTATAAATGCTCATATTAAAGAAGAAAGATCTCAAATCAACAACCAACATTTAAACTTTAAGGAAATAGGAAAAAAACAAACTAAACAGAAAGCTAGTAGAAGGAAGGAAATAATAAAGATTAAAGCAGAGATACACAAAACAGAAAAGAGAAAATCAACGAAAGCAAGAGCTGGTTCTCTGAAAAGATCAACAAAATTGGCAAACATTTAGCTAGATTGACTCAGAAAAAAAGAGACAAGATTCAAATATCTAAAATTGCAAATGAAAGAGGGAATATTACAACTGATTTTTGTTGGAGGAGGTCATCAAGAGGATGTGACCACTGGTTGACCTGAGAACTGGACTCAGGTGATCAGAGGTTCCTCACCCCCTCCCCTGTCCTTGGAACATATGTTCTGCCCACTGTTTCCACAGTAGGAGCTATTTCAAAGATGCAGATTTGAGAGGGTAATGTGTTCTTGAGACCATCTGAACAGTGTGCTTGACTGAATCCCATTAAGGCATCTATATAAACTTTTAAGATTCTGGCGGGCAGGTGTGGAGACCTACTTGTCTTGTGGCCGCCCAAGACAAGCTTCATATGTAAGTTGCCTTGCTTATTAAACCTGCCACCCACCAACCTGGAGTGTCTGCCTCTTTCTTCCATCTCTCCCTGCCATCTGTGTACAGTTTTGGACTTCACTTGGGGAACTCCTGAGGTTGCAAACCAAAAATTTTAGAGTTAAAAAAGATAATAAGAAAATACTATGAACAATTGTATCCCAACAAATTATATATACTAGATGAAATGGACAAATTCCTGGAAACACACAACCTACCAACACTGAATCAATAAGAAACAGAAAATATGAACAGACCTATAACTAATAAGGAGATTGAGTTGGTAATCAAAAACCTCCAACAAAGAAAAGCTCAGGACCAGAGGGCTTAACTGGGAAATTCTACAAAACATTTCAAGAAGAATTAGGAACAATCCTCCTGAAGCTCTTTCAAAAAAATTGAAGAGGGAACACTTCCAAACTCATTCTATGAGGCCAGCATTACCCTGATACCACAGCTAGACAAAGACACTACAAAAGAAGAAAACTACAGACCAATATCCCTGATGAATATTGATGCAAAAATTCTCAAAATACTAGAAAACCAAATTTAACAGCACATTGAAGGAATTATACACATACCAAGTGGGATTTATTCCTTGAAAGCAAGGGATTGTAATTGTGCATTGTTGGTGGCAATGCAAAATGGAGCAGCAGCTATGGAAAATAATATGATGGTTCCTCAAAACATTATATATAGAATTACCATGTGATTAAGCAATTCAACTTTTGGGCTATATACACCAAAGAATTGAAAGCAAGGTCTTGAACAGATATTTGTACACTCATTTTCATAGCAGTATTATTCACAATAGCCAAAAGGTGTAGCAACCCAATTGTCCAGTGATGGATAAACAGATAAACAAAATGTGGTATAAACATAAAATGGCAAATTATTCAGCCTTAAAAAAAGGAGGAAATTCTGACACACACTACAACATGGGCATTGTTGTCCCTGAAGATAATATGCTAAGTGAAATAAGCCAGTCACAAAAAGACAGATACTATATGGTTTCAATTATATGAGGTATCTAGATTAGTCCAATTCAGAGACAGAAAGTGAAAAGCTGATTGCCAGGGACTGGGAGGAGGGGGGAAACAGGGAGCTATTGTTTAAGGGTACAGAGCTTCAGTTTTGTAAGATGAAAAGAATTATGGAGACGAATAGTGGTAATGGTTGCACAATACCGTACTTGATACCAATGAACTATACACTTAAAAGTGGTTAAGACTGTTGGCCATGCTGGGGCCGCGTCCCACATACAGCAACTAGAAGGATGTGCAGCTATGACATACAACTATCTACTGGGGCTTTGGGGGAAAAATAAATAAATAAAATTATATATAAAAAAAAAGATGGTTGTTATGAAGCAAAGGTTTACGTACCCCTAAAACTCATATGTTGAAGCCCTTAGCCCCAGTGTGATGGTATTTGGAGACTGGGTTTTTGGGAGGTAATTGGGTTTAGATGAGGTCGTGAGGGTGTGGCCTCCATGATAGGATTAGTGTCCTTATAAGAAGAGAAAGAAAGACCAGAGCTTGCTCTCTCTGCCATGCAAGGAAACAGCCAGAGGGAGGCCTTCTGCAAGCCAGTAAGAGGGTTCTCACCAGGAACCAAATAAGCTGGCACCTTGACCTTGGACTGCCCAGAACTGTGACCAATAAATGCCTCGTGTTTAAGCCAGCTAGTCTACGATATTTTGTTATAGCAGCCCAAGTTGACTAAGGCAATGGTTAAAAAAAAGTAGAAGACATACAAAGAGTTATAAATATTGATACTAACAAGTAGGAAAATCAAGGAGATGACAACGGGCGATCTCTATTTTCTCTGTAATGAGGAAGACTGTCATCTGCTGCAAGGAGAGCCAAGAGACCAACAAGGGGTTTGAATATAACCAGAGTAAGTTTAGAACAGCTGATTGGTACATGAGAAAGAAACCCAACCAGGAACAGAAAAGTGCTGAGCCCAGTTACATGTCTAGACAAGGCTGGAATAGGGCAAGAAATCAGCAATATAATCTTTTATGATCCTGTTTTGATATTTATGAAAACCCACTGAAAAGCATACTGGTATGTGATATAATTAATTCTGAGATGTCCTTCTTTAACAGAATGTATTAGATATTATGTGTATTTAGATTTGCTGAAAACTGCAAGTACTTATTATTTATAATTAATGATTATTTCCAGGATCTACAAAGTTATTGAAAGCCTAGGAGAAATTATGTTGAACTCAATCCCCAAACTGCAAGTCTTATTCCTTGAAACGGTTCATAGGTAATAATAACAGCTACTATTAAATGAATGCCTTACGAGGTTCCAGGAATTTTGCTAAGTATTTTAAATGTCTTAATTTAATTCCTACAACTTTGTAAGAGAAGTACTTTTATTGCCAATTTATGTATGAAGGAACTGAAAGTTGTGGACTTTAACTTTATAATATCTAACATTTATTGGTTCATTCCTTTATGTCAGATATTTTTACATGAATTATATTAAATGGCCCTCACTACTATCTTCTGAAGTATTTCTAGTACAGGAATTTTACAAGTAAGGACACATAGGCATAAGGAGATTCGCAAACTAGTTCTGGGTCATAGTGCAAGTAAGCTTTCTGCTAGGACTTGAGCCCAGACGGTCTGACTCTAGAGCCTCTTCTGAATTCTGTTGTCCTGCTCTAGGGAGTGCAATATAGCACAGAGGCTGGATGAGTTCCATACTTGGTTCCGAATGGTTGGTGCAACATCTGTTAACTCTATTTTGGTCATAAGTTTGCTTTAATAGGCTAGTTATTCAACGACACTTTGTTGGAATGTTTCGAGAGTCCACTCTTAGAAAAACTTATAAAAACAAACCAGCAATGTGCTTCTTAAAATTGCAATAGGCTGGGGTTTTCTGCTTACAAGCAAAGTGGCATACTTGCCTAAAATGGGCCTACTACGAAAAATGACCTCAGGTACTTTAGAGAAGTATTCTTGACAATGAATACTACTATATATTGAAATATTAGCAAAAAAATGAGCTCAAGCTCCTTTCTTGACAGATTAGAAAATTAGTCACTAGTTGAGAATCAGTGAAATGTATTGTGTCTGTGCCTGAACTCGTCAATGGTTCCCTCAATGCCATACTTAAAACATTTTTTGCACCTTAGACAGTATTTATCATTTGTAGATACAAATGCAGTTGATTCTTAGTAATACTATATTTCCCTAGATAGTATTTCCAATGGATTACAAAAAAATTATTTCTTAAAATAGTTTGTTGAACCTCACTTATACTCTTTATATGAAAATTCCAAACTAAGGAATTTCCCTAAGCCCACCTGCTAAGGCCATAACGAGTGTACATTAAAAGCATAACTCTTATCCTATGCTTCTCTCTCCCCAAATTGCTCTTTCTGTATCAAAAGGTGGTATCCCGACGGTGGGGCATGGGGGTGGGAGCATTATCTTGTGAGGCTTTTCATTTTTATTACCTTTTCCTTTATTCTTCCCCATTTCCTTCTCCCAGGTGACTATGGTCTCTCTTCATGGAGGACTGGGAGGAATACTGAATCCTCACAGCTTCAACAAATGGCGGTGTTACTGTCCCTCCACACATTGTCTCCGTAGGCCTCTGCTCTATAGCTGGGTGCTGAAGAGGAACGGTGGAACAGGGTGCAGCCTCTGACACTAGAGCAAGCTTAGCATCTCTTGCTACAGCATTTAGCCTTTTCCTTTCCACATGCTCAAAGATATTAATCTCTTTCCATTCCCAGCCTCCCAGATACACTTTCATACAGGAACATTCTCTGTGGCTTTCCTTCAGAAGTGTTTCTCACCACCTCTAGGCCAGGCCTGTGACCCGCTCTGAGAGTTCTTACAGAGAAACCATAAGGTGCAGCTGTCAGTAAGGGGTCATCTACTCTGCTCCCAGAGCTGTGGTGGAGCTGTTTATACAAGGGTTGCTTCTCCTCAGTTCCTGTTCTTACCCGACTCCAAAACTTACTTTCAATTACTTTCCTATTTCATCTAACCTAACTCTTCCATAACCACCAGCAGATTTATTTTTTCAAGGGAGAAAGACAGATAGGCGTGCTACGCAATTATCAAAGTTAAACCATAAATTCCCTTCAGGCAAAATTAGGTTCTCTATAAGTCTAGAATAAATTATCTGATATACCCTTTGTTTTGGTCACTTATACTAATGAATGCACTTTTTCAAAACCAAATATTGTTTTAGAAATAGGTTTATAAAAGGCTTATCATCTTACTACTTTTTCCTTACAATCTGTAATTTAAAAATAAGAATCTCTTATCTGGTTCTTTACAATTTTAGGTTAAATTAACTGCTAAATACTGAATCTTATAGGCATGCTCTACTCCCTTGTTTGAATGCTTAAAAATTATAAAGCCCACGTCACTTTATTTACCTCCAAGTCTTGCTCTGATGGAAATGTCTGGTATTGCCCTGGAATTCCACCTTCTGTCCTGTTTTAGTTCTTCTAATAATATTTTTTGCCTTTTAAGTGTCGTTTGAAATCCTGTGTCTGGCCTGGGAACTCTATGTTGAGGTTTCACATCACTGAAATCCACCAGGCTTGGTATGGTTCTGCCAATGCCAGGCTTTAAATCAGCATCACCACCAGGACTCAAAAATCCTGAACAAGAATCACCTAAGGGTACATCATCCCGAAGTGGGAATAATGGATAATCTGGGCCATACGGCGGGGGATAAGGATAGTGTAAATGATAGTCTGGCAGAACTGAAGGGGGATAAGGGTGAAATTTAAGAAAAGTAGGGATGCATTTCTTTTCAATTCTGCCATAGTCATGTCTGTCCTCAACTCCTTTCACAAAAGGCATGTTCATTTTTCTTAAGAGATGACAGTAGTGTGGGTAATCTCTATTCTCAACAGCCTTTGTTCCCGAAAGGATGAACCTTTCAGAGATACTTATCTTTCCAGGTGTATGCTGTGAATCCATATCCTCGGCTTTCTTCTTTAGAAGTTTGGATGACTGTAAATTAAGTGCTTCTGATGATTCTTATCTTTTTACCTATAAAACTCTTATATTTCCAATAGTTGAGGATTGGTTAATCTAACATAAAGTTATTGATTTGGCTCTGTAAATTTTGATAGAGTAGGTTTTTTTTTTTTCTTTCTAAGGTAAATATTTTTCTTCACCAAAGGAAGTAAAGGGTAGTAAGGGACCAGGACAGAAAAAAACAAAACAAAACAGGCCCCTTGTTGCCTGGCAACAGCTAGAACTGTAACACATTGGGCTCTTTATTATATACATCATAATGTAATTCCTAGGAAACACAAAGGTAGCCTTGTTAGTAATATTTCCATGATAATTTCCTCCCCAATGTTCAGGAAAACAGTGCTTGTTACTTATTTTTTAATTTTTCTATAAGTTAATATTTTATAGGTATGATATCCAGTAAAGAGTATAAAGTAGTTAATCAAGTGACAATGTTTTTTTCAAGTATATATCTGACTATAACTAAGTATTTACCTTATAGATATAATAAATTACAAAACTTGCTACCTAAATAAATATAAATTTAAATGCAGTGCAAAAAATGAACATGTATTATACTAAGATTAAATCAACGTTCCTAATTCTTTAGGAAAATAATTAGCAATTTATAATCAAAGCACAGGTTCATCTTTTACATGCCCTAAATTATCCTTACTTACCTTCTGCTCCCATGATGTCCAGAGTAAGAGCAATGAGGGTATCAGCTACTAGCTTACAAGCAAAAAAAGATGTCATCACTATACTCTTCATTTAAAAGCTCATTTCAACTAGATAATCTGGTCTTGTGTGAAAACTGCTACCACAGGAATTCCAAATATTAGAATTTTGGCACAAGAGCTCACACTCTTTCTACTACAGTGAAAAATGCAAACATGAATGAGAGACCTACTTTCTTCCTGTATTCCAGCAATCACCTTCCCATCTTTACAATCATGCTACACATTAACTTAGATCTCCAATGTTACATCCTAGTCTCAGGTTGAATATTAGGAATTTACACAGTAGACAACGGCAGGAGGGACTAATGAACTGAAGAAAATTCTTAAGACAGAAAACAAAGATTACAGGATTTAGCATGGTTTGAACAGTCCTCTTCACCCTTTATTCATTAGAAATCCAGAGTCAAAAGTTCATTTTTTAAAAATCATATTGTGCAGGTTTACTCTTTTATAAAAAGGAAGAGGCGTCAGAGGAGAATTTATACCTAGACAAACATTGTGATTGATCCGGCACTATTCAGTAAAACATGTTTCCTAGATCTGCTCAAAGGAACTACAAGATCTTGACCAAAGTGCTGGCCATATCCAAATCATTCAGGTCTCTCTTTAGTAAAGCATGCCTAAACTGGCTTACTTTAATTCAGTATTTTATATAGATTAGAAAGAATTTCTGAAGAAGTGAATTCACTCAGTGGAATAAACTGCACTGTATACAGTTTACCCAACTAACACATACATAAATATAGCCAGAAAACTCAACGAATATACAGAAATTTCTTCAATTTACTTTGTTACTAAGAACCAAGGACTTCTTAGGACATTTATACAGTCCTTAAGAAACGTCTCCACCCTGGTCCTGGCCCAGAAAGAGCCCTGATTCCTTTCTGCTTGATGTCTTCTTTTTAAATATTTGCCTATTTGAATGCCTACTATATGCGAGGAACTATCCCAGGAGTTGAGGTTAAAATGCTGGCAAAACAGACAAAATCCTAGCTTTGAAGAGCCAGGCACATTATACGTAAATCAGGCCAGCTGTAAGACAGCAAAAGGTGGTGATATCTGCAGTGTAACTAGAATACACCCACGGCCATTAAATCTTTGAGATATACTACCCAACAAGTGGCGAGGTTGAAGTACGTTAAGCTGTCAGTTTGAAATCCCTCATCTACAGCAGTGGATCCGGTGATGGTTTTCAGTTCACTCAGGATCACTCATTTCTTCCTAGTAAAGGTGACAGTACACATCGTGATTAAGCATTCTGCCTTCAGTAGCTTAAACTTTATTTTTCAACGTATTTGCACCAACTACATAAGATTTATTTCTATTGTAGCTCTGTTCCTCTTAAGTAAATCCTTCCTGCCGCAGAAAAGCAGAGGCAAGAATCTCTTTAACATATTCTGGCTATAAATGCCCTCTCAGGCTGTTAGGTGGTTTTATATATTTTTCTGAACTTAGGTGAGAAAAGAATATTTTCCAGGCTGAGTGTTGCACAAAGTCAATTTCATCTAAGGTTGTGTCCTCTGTCCTTCCCATGAAGCTTCTTCCTGGGGCTAAAGGCCTTACTTTCAATTCCACTTAGTGTGCGCTGCATTATCTCCCAGTTAAGTTCCATACATCCATAAAGTACCAGTAGTTTACATTTCGAGAACCAGGCAATCCTCTGAGGGCCGTACACGTATTAACCCAATTTCCACCACCTGTTATTCAGAGCTGCCCTCCCCACCCCACTGCTGAGACTCAGTCTACCAGCCGGCTTATGGAAAGGGCTTGCCTCAGCCCACGAACGCGCACACAACGGTAAAGGCGCGGGTTATGCGGCCCGCGGTTCTGCTCCCAGCTCCAGAATCTTCCACAGATCGCTTATGCTCTCCAGGATTCCCTGGGCGGGGCCGTGGGCCCGGAGGCCCAGTCGACGCTCAGCACCGCGGACGAGACTGCGCAGGCCGGGCGGCGCGGAGACCCTCGCGTCAGCCGCCACGCAGACTCGGCCCAGCTCCTCCTGCGCCCTGGCGGAAGTGGAGGCCCGTCCTTCCGGTCGTTCTTCCGGGCGGCCGCCCGCCAACTTCCGGCGGGCGGGTGGGCGCGCGTCGCGTAACGACCTTCTGCGCGGACGGTCGGCAGGCTGCGGCGTGCGGATGGAGGGCTCGGCCTCCGGC